GGTGCCTTTGCTTTTTGTCAAAGCAGCTTTTCTCTATTCCAAGGTTGTGAATACCTTCTAGAAATGTTACCATTTTATCTTTTACATTTTGATCTACAATCTTAACTGGACTTTATTTTTGTGTGTGGTGTAAGGTAGGGGGTCAGATTTCATGTCCGCTGGTGATGCTGAAATAAATTCGCTTAATAGATATAAAACTTGGCAAAACTGGTTGATAGCCACAGACAGTGAACATTTGAATCTCTACTGGACATAGTTTGCATGTCTATGGACAAGAATCATCTGAGTTACAATAACAAGTGTAGAATCAGATGATCTGGACATCTGATAGCCTGTATTATGTATTGTTCTTTGAATTACTCTCTGAACCAGTGTAACATTTTATTGGTTCCCTTGTTAATGAGTTAAATTTTTTGACCTGTCATTTTATTTTTTTTTAAAGATTTTATTTGAGAGAGAGAATGAGAGAGAGAGAGAGAGAGAGAGCGCACATGAAGGGGGGGAGGGTCAGAGGGAGAAGCAGGCAGACTCCCTGTTGAGCAGGGAGCCTGATGCGGGACTCGATCCCGGGACTCCGGGATCATGACCTGAGCCAAAGGCAGTCGCTTAACCAACTGAGCCACCCAGGCACCCAACCTGTCTTCATTTTATATCTTTATGAGAGTTCTAACTTTATCCATTAAAAAAGATAGCTTAGTAGTTCTAATTCCTTCTTTGCCTTTGCTTTTTGCTACTCCTCGTTCATCTTCTAAATGCAGGGGGCTTGTCATAGGCTTTTCTTAAGTTTTTGGAAGATGGTGACTAATCCAATCAGTGGCTGAGGGTCAGGGGTGGGACAGTCCTAGGATACACAACATGGTTTCCCATGTACCAGGCACTTTTGGCAAGAAAATACGATGACTGATGATTCTAGCATGCCCTATCACGTAGTTGAGAAATACAAGTGCTTATAATAACCTCATTGCCCCTCTAGCACCAAATACTCTTCCAAAGACTGACAGACTGCTGAGTGGTCATGTATTAATTGTATAAACTTGGGTTTCTACACTGAGTGACTTTTTCCTGAAAGGAAGATAGATCAGTAACCTAGAAGAAAAGTGTAATAGGATAGAAAAACACTATTTTATTATTGTTTTAGAGGGCGTGCCTGAGCTGAGGGGTGGACTGGGGGGTGCAGAGCAGAGGGGGAGAGAGAATCTTAAGCAGGCTCCACACCCAGCACAGAGCCCGACACGGAGTTTGATCTCACGACCCTGAGATCATGACCTGAGTCGAAATCAAGAGTTGCTCACTTAACTGACTGAGCCACCCAGGCGCCCAAAAAACACGTTATTATTATTATTATTATTTTTAAAGATTTTATTTGACAGAGACAGCAAGAGAGGGAACACAAGCAGGGGAAGTGGGAGAAGGAGAAGCAATCCTCCCGCTGAGCCGGGAGCCTGATGCAGGGCTCAATCCCAGGACCCTGGGATCATGACCTGAGCCCAAGGCCGACTCTTAATGACTGAGTCATCCAGGTTCCCCAAAAAACACATTTTAAGAAAAGAATTGTAACTGTACCTATCTCAAAGCTGAAGTATTTATTGTTTTACATGGGAACAAAAAAGTGATTCATATTTAAAACACACACACACACACACACACACACACACACACACACACACACCAATTGTGGGCAGATTGCTGTATTCATTTAGACCAAATCTTTATTTTTTTAAAATGTGATACAGCCATTTAATTTTCACATTAGCAGTAGCCAATATTTTTGTGATGCATTCACATGACTTTCTATGTACACACAAGCACACAGTTTATATAAAAAATAAATTAGGCTTTAATAATGAAACACAAGTTTACAAATGCAGCTTTTTAAAGCCTACTGAAAAGTAAGAAATGAGGAAATTTCTGAAAGACAGGGTCATTGTAGAATCTGGTTCTTCAGGAAGAAGAATTTTCAGAAAGGACAGAACCAAGAGAAATCACTGAGTGTTTTTCAAATGCCAATTTTGTCATTCTGCATATTTCTTAACCTATTTATTAACTTTCCATTGGTCCGAGTATGGCTTTTTAAGGTTGTCTCCAAAAAGTTAGCAGTCACCCAAGTTGAAAGTTGAAAGTTAACTTCATTTTTTTTTTTTTTTTTAAGTATGCTTCATGCCCAGCTTGGGGCTTGAACTAACTACCCTGAGATCAACACCTAAACTGAGATCGTGAGTTGGACGCTTAACCAACTAAGCCACCCTGGTGCCCTGAAAATTAGTTTTATCCATTTTAAATTTGTTAAAAGGATTGGGGCCCCTTTTAGCTGTCCTTCTTGGTTTCAAGTGCAACTCATCACTTAGTGGCCCCAGATCAGCCGTCTTAAAATTTAACACTCAGAGACCTCTTCAGTGAATTTTGAAAATCTGAGTATCCACCTGAACATTTCTAAATGGATGTCTAAAATTTTTCATCGTAAATCATTGTAAAGGATCCAAGTTGTCAGCATGTTGTAGATACTGCATCTTTAAATAAAATGCTTACATTCCTCTTTAAGTTTAGCCTAGAGGTTCTAAATACAAGAGCTGAGAGACACTATCACCCTTGTAAAAAATTACATGAATAAGGCAATTTTTGATGGTAGGAAATAGCACACTTTTTCCTTTTACTCCTTGAATGTGTATTTTTATTCTACTTCCCTTCAAAATTTTAGCCTATTGATTTTTGGCTTTTATATTGTTTCTTTGCATATTTGTAACACAATTCTATATTCTATAAATCATAAGGCTCTATGTATTTGAAACTTTCTTCTGGATTGAACTTGATCAATAAAACTAATATAGTACAAATTTTAATAATTAAACATAGTAAAATTTCATTGGCAATGTGTCAGTGTGTTGAAGGAAGCTTCTCCCCCTTTATTTCATCTCTCTGTAGATGAAGGTTACCTTTGTTAGAATGGTCACAGTATCAATTCTTTTCTCCCTTGGCAATTTTATGTATGGAAGTGTTGCTGATCTTTGTTCGAGGAGATAGGGAGACGGGAACAGAAGGCACTTTTGTGATAGCGTGATAGCTGAATTCTTCCAAGGCCTTCAGAACTACATGCTAAAATACTGAGAAATCTTGGGTGTTCCTTCAACTTCATTGAAATCAAAAGAATTGAGAGCCACCGGAATGGCAGAAGGATTTGTACCTGATTGTTAAGAGGCTTTCACTTTCCGAGCACTCATATTTTAAATGTTATACCTTAAGTCATGCTCCATAGTTTAAGACTGACTCTGGGGAAAGAGCATTTTCTTTTTAAGGGGAGAAAAAGGCATTTTCTGAGGCAGATGAGTCTTAAGAAAGAGTAAAATAGGAAGGTAAGGATCTGAAAATTGATCCCCTAAAACTATTTGAGCCCTGTGTATTCCTTAGAAAGCTGTGGTAGATAGGTGGGGGTAAGGCTGCCCCATTTTATGACCATTGGCCTTAGTGGCTTAAGTTCAGATTTTATTTAACTAAGTCACAAAGTATATCAATTATTAGATTCTGTTGCCTGGCTGCCTTTTTAATTTTTTAGTAATCTCTACACCCAACATGGAGCTTCAAGCTCATGACCCCGAGATCAAGAGTTGCTTGCTCTTCCAACTGAGGCAGTCATGCACCTCTGTGGCTGTCTTCTTCATAGAGTAGCCGGCCCTCAATTGTGCTGCCTCGCACACTAGTCCCATGAGATAGACATCCCTTGGTGAAAGGATTGAGAAATCTAATTTGGGAACTGTGATATTCCACACCTCTCTTCACTGTGCACTTTAGGACAGCCACGTTTCGCAGCAGAGAAATTATTTAACTTTGTACAACCTGAATTTCCCAAACTCTAATGATCTAACCAGCCCCAACCCCTTTATTTTTTCCATGTCATAAAACCTATTCTAAATGCTCCACCTAGAGAAACGGATAACAAAAACAGTGTAACACGTACACAGTCGTGGTTTGGATCTGCTATGCTGCTGGTGTCTCTCAAGATGCTCCTCTGTTCTGCTTGGGCCTGAATTGTGCTTATTCCACGATGGTTAAGCCACAATCTCAGCTGAATATCTTATGTTTAGGTTCTGTGGCATCCGGGCAGACTATGGGAAGAGTAGTGGTATCACCGGTGCCCTTCATGTTCCCTCTCTGTGTCTTTCCTGAGAGAATCCTGGCCCCACCTTCTCTCAGTTAAATTCAGGTTTTCCCCTATTAAGGGGAGAATGGATGAGCAAAAGCCAATACTCCCTAATGGTGGATTCAAGTCACTGTAGCACCTAGGAGGAGACAGTCTTAGGGAAAGAGTTCTTCCCAGCACCATTTATGCTCTAACCCCCACTACCCCCAGTGTCTGCTTTTTCTCAGCATAGGTGTGGCTGGGTATGGATTTTACATGGTAACAGCTGGAAAGATGCTTCGTTTTTGCCTTCTATGCCACCCCATCTTAATTTCTTTGACACACTAGCAGAAAATCCATTTTAAGCAGAAAGGGGATCCAGGCTTTAGCTCTTTGACTTTAAAATGGAGTGAAATGGGAAGGTTTAGGTCTCTTACTCCCTGCTGAGCTGAAAACGGGGGACGACAGCAGCACCTGAGCTCTGTGGTGTAGAGGTAATGATGGAGGCAAAAGAAGTCTGGAGGTAGGGCTGGGGGTGCAGTGATTAGGCTTCAGTGGCCACCTGGCCAATGGTGAACAGGACACTGGCTCTAGAGTCTGCAAATTCCTTTCTTTGCTGTAGCACTCAGCTCAGTGTCTTTGCTTCTCACTTCTATTCAAAGTTGCTTTGAACATTTGCCACCATCAGGAATATTCGCTCAGTTGCTACTGCCAACTAAAATAGCAACTCCAGTTCGATAAATAAGTAATGTCACAAGGTAACAGCTCCACTGAGTCAGACTGCTGTTACCTATACTTCGGGCTTCAGGTAAGGTAAAATGCACTTCTTTCAGGAGCATGTGGATAATGTTCCAGAAGAACAGCGAGCACGACCTTTTTTTAACCCCTATTTTTTTTTTTTTTTTTTTACATCGTACCCCTGACCATGGGCACAGTGCTTGGTATTTTGAGGTGCTTAAAAACTTTTTTTGGAATGCAGGCATAAGGCCTTTTGATCACACACAGCCTGGCTGGTTTTAATGGACTTCCCAGCAATAACGCAGACTTGCTAAGTCCAGGGTAAGTAGGGGGTTCCTGAAGGGGTTGCTAGGATCCATTTCCAAGCAGTCAACCCACCAGGCTTCTTGCTAGTTGGTCATCCTGATACAATGTGTTTTCTCACAGTTACCTCCCCTCCCCCACCAAGTCAATTCTCCATTCCCTCTGAGCAAGTTGTGACTTTACAGCGTCCTGCCCTCCACCCCCACACTATCCTTGTCTTTGAGAAACCTTATTAAACCCTCACCCTGTACATCACTCGGTTGTATCCGCATCGAGCTGGAGAGGAATACCCTCTGTCCTAGGTGGGTCAGCCCCTTCCGGGATGGCTGCAGATGGGATTTTTTTGTGCTAAGGCTTAGCTTGGTGGTCCAGAAAAATGGGATGACCCGGAGGGCTAACTGTCGTCACTTTTTCAAATCAGTAGATGACCTCTTGTCTGTGGAGAGCTGTGGACTCGGGGCCTCTCCACGGGCTCGCAGCCAGCTCCTGAGTGAGCAGAGCCAGGGGTTAAGAGGCTGGCTGAGCCTTCAGTGAGTTTCTGGTCTCTCTGACAGACTTTCTAATTCAAAGGGGTCCCCACCCACCCCCCATAACTGCGGTCACAGAGCAAGCCTCCACCATGGACTGAAGCTGTCCTCCTGAAGATTCAATCCCCCTTTGAGGGGGGAATCCACCCCCCCTTTGAGGTGTGGCCAGCCAGCGGGAGCATGCTCGGAGCTGAGCCCGCTGACCCGGGCCAGGGGAGGCCGGCAGGGACGGCAGCCGGGGGCAGGGCTCCTCCGTGGGCCCTGGTGAAAGCCGGTGGCCTTAACTGAGGAATCGTTTGCCTTTTAGTTAACCTCCTTTGCAGAATCTAATGAATCCGTTCCTTACATATTGGCCTCCTCCCCCCGTGGAAGTCAACTACCTGGGTCTCTAGAGGTGGAAAAGGGATGCTGGTCATTGTATGGGTCGTGCACAGGAGGGGTAACTGAGCGGGATTTTCACGGCTTTTATTCAAGGGGGTTTGGAACACGAGAGGCCAAAAATGAGGAACACAGTTTCCACGATCCTCTATAGAAAATATAAGTTAAGAAACTGTCCGAGATGAAAAAATGAGCAGGAAATAACCTCAACTCCTGCCAATGGGATCTCCAGAAATGTCCTCTTGAGGCCAGGCTTGAGGAGAGGATGACCCCACAGATGAGCATATTCCCAGGGCCTGAAGAGAGGACAAATGCACACGTGACCCCCTTAGTCATGTGCCCCGTCTCCTAGGAGTAAAACCTGCTGTTGCTGACTCTCTTCTCTCTTAACCTGCAATAAAACAGATTTCAGCATCAGGCATTAGGCTCAGACCCGGGCCGTGTGCCCAACAGCTGCAGGACCTCTGTGGCTGGCTGGAAGAGGGCTGACGGTGAGGGAGGTGGGCTCCTGGCAAGACAGGTAGCCTCTCTGAATCTCCGAGTCCTCACTGGGCATTGCACTGGGCATTGCACTGGGCTCCCTGCTACCCTGTAGGCTATGCTTCGGACGAAATGAGCATGTGGGTAGAGAGTCTACACTGTTTCCCGCTGAGTCTGTTTGGGCAGTTCAGGCTAGTTCTGTTGAGCAGGGCTGTCTGGCACACTGCAGGGCCCTGGGCGGACCTGGCTGCCCACACCCCTCCCCATATTACTTCCGTAGCACAACCAGAAGCATCCCTTGGGGGCCAGGGGGTGGGTTCTGCCCCAATCCAGAACCACTGGACCGCAGGAACGTGACAAGGCTCTTTGGAAGGTAGAGGTCACAGTTTAGTTTCACTGTTACATCAAAGTGTCCTCCTAGGGGTGACAGTTTGGCTTAGGGAAGGTGCAGATACTTAAGAAAAATTACTGTTAAGTTTATTTATAGAGCAAAGAGCCTTAGCATTGAGGGATCAGTCAAGGAATTTCTAAAGATGGGGGCCAGGCTTCAAGTGCCCCACATCACTGCTTGGAGGAGCAAGACCTGGGCATCTGCAGTTGGGGGAGGGGCCAGCCTACCTCCGGTTGCACTTCTCCTGGTACAGCTGGAGCTGGTTCTCATTGACGTTGAACTCTTTAACGAGGGCGTCCCGGTTGGCATTGCGCAAGTTCTGGTGTGTGTCGTACAGAAAGAGCTGATTGTTCAGTTCTTCCTGCCGCCTTCTGAGCTGGCGGCAGGAGGAGTAAAGTTCCTCTTCGCTTTCCTGGAGGGGAGAGAGCAGCCACATGGGGACCGTGTGGGGCTCTGTATCTTCACAGAGTGAGTGAGCGGAGCAGGGGGCAGAAGTTTCAAAACTGGGATTATCTCCCCCCCCCCAAAAAGGCAGGGCCCATTTTAACCGAAGATAAAACTCACAATTATTTATTCCATTGGAAGCAAGCAGTTTGAAAAACCCCTGTCCCCCCAATAAAGGGTGGCTTTTTTGTGAAACACTGCAATAACCGCATTGCCCACTGATCCTAGGGCCTAAATGTGGGTTTTCATTCTCTGTCCCCCTCTGGTCCTTACCCGAATGCAAAGGGTCTAAGTAGCTTTGTGCTTAAAGTAGGACACAACAGGGAAGGGGGAGAGCAGCCTAACAGGACAGAAAGGGAAGCAGGGGCCGGCCGATCTTTGACGACCTTAAAACGCAAGGTCGCACATTACAACATGGATGAGCCTTGCACATTATTTAAGTTAAAGAAGCCAGTTCCAAAAGACCACACATGTTGATTGCATTTCTATGAAATGTCCAGAACAGGTAAATTCGTACAGACAGAAAAGTAGTGGTTGCCTGGGCTGGGGGTAGACATAGCTAAAGAGCAAGTGTGTGTTTTTGGGGTGATGAAAATGTTCTAAAATTGATCATGGTGATGGATGCACAACTCTGAATACACTAAAAACCACCGAATAGCACATCTTAAATGGGTGATTTATATGGTATATGAATTATATCGCAAAGCTGTTACATCATCCCTCCCAAACCAAACTAACATAGGTTATGCCCCCCAGAGGTGGTATGCAACTCTGTTCTGGCTGGTAATGATGTCTTACTCCCCCTGCCCACCACCTGTGAGCACAAACCAAGCCAGGCCAATTCTATGGGACTTTGGTTGGTGCTCTTGTTAGGGGGGGAAAAAAAAGTTTCTTTTCTTGGAGATCAGTTGAAAGAGCAGTGAATGTTTCTAGTTGATAGTGGTCCCTTTGCTATCATGTAGAGAAAGTTGGGAATGAAGTTAAGAGAGAGGGAAATAGAGCCACTGGAATGAGCACCTGGATCCAGCCATGACTGAAGCAAGCTCTGCCATTAAACACTGCAGTTGTCCTACCCAAAATATTCCCTCCATTATGTTAAGAAAAAAAAAATTATCACAGTAAGGAGTTGAGATTTCAGCATGGGAGAAAGAGGATGTTTTACTCTACTGATTTTTTATAATTTAAATTTTTAATTGAAGTATAGTTGACCTACAATATTGGTTTCAGTTGTACAACAGTGATTTGGCAATTACAGACGTTATGAAAGCTTACCACCATAAGTGTTGTTACCATCTGTCACCATACGAAGTTATTTCAATATTGACTACATTCCCTCTGCTGTACTTTTCATTCCCATGACTTAGAACTGGAAGTATGTACCTCTCAATCCCCTTCAGCTGTTTCGCTAATCCTCCCACTCCAACTCTCTCTCTGTATTTGAGTCTATTTCTGTTTTGTTAATTTGTTTTGGTTTTTAAATTATACATCTAAGTGAAATCCTATAGTATTGGTCCTTCTCTTATTTCATGTAACATAATACCTTCTAGGCCCATCCATGTGGCTGCAGATGGCAGGATTTCAATCTTTATTGATGGCTGAGTAATAGTCCATTGTATATGTACCACATTTTCTTTACCCATTCATCTATCAGTAGACAGGTTGCTTCCCTATCTTGGCTGTTGTGTATAATGCTACAATAAACATAGGGGTGCATATATCTTTTTGAATTAGTGTTTTCTTTTTCTTTGGGTGAATACCCAGAAGTGGAATTACTGGACTGTATGGTAGTTCTAGTTTTAATTTTTTGAAGGACCCTCCATACTGTTTCCACAATGGCCGCACGAATTTCCATTCCTACCAACGCTGAGGTTGTCTTTCTCTCCACACCCTTGCCAACATGTGCTCTTTTTGCTTTTCAATACTAGTCCTTCTGACAGGTGTGAGGTTGATTTCTCATTGTGGTTTTGATTTGCATTCCCCGATGATCAGTAATATTGAGCATCTTTTCATGTGTCTGTTGGCCATCTCTGTATGTCTTCTTTGGAAGAATGTCCAGATCCTCTGCCCATTTTTTAATCAGATTGGTTTGTTTGTTTTTTGGTGTTGGGTTGTATGAATTCAGTAGGTTGCCTTTTCATTTTGTTGATGATTTCCTTTGCTGTGAAAAAAGCTTTTTAGTTTGATGTAGTAGGCCCACTTGTTTATTTCTGCTTTTGTTTTCCTTGCCTGAGGAGACAGATCCAGAAAAGTATTGTTAAGGCCAATGTCCAAAGAGTTAATACCTGTATTTTCTTTTAGGAGTTCTGTGGTTTCGGGTCTTTACATTTAGGTCTTTAATTCATTTTGAGTTTATTTTTGTGTATGGTGTATGGAAGTAGTGCAATTTCATTCTTTTCCAGGAAGCTGTCCAGTTTCCCCAACAGCATTTATTGAAGAGTCTGTCTTTTCCCATTGTATATTATTGCCTACTTTGTCATTGACCATATAAGTGTGGCTTATTTCTGCACTCTCCATTCTGTTCCATTGATCTATGTGTCTGTTTTTGTGCTAGTACCACACTGTTTTGATTACTGTAGTTTGTAGTTTATCTTGAAATCTGGAAGTGTGATACCTCCAGCCTTGTTCTTTCTCAAGACTGCTTTGGCTGTTCTTTTGTGATTCCATACAAGTTTGAAGGTTATTCTATTTTTGTGAAAAATGCTGTTGGTATTTTGATAAGGATTGCATTGAATCTGTAGATTACCTTGGGTAATATGGACATTTTAACAACATTCTTCCAATCCATGAGCATGGTATAACTTTTCATCTAATCGCATCATCTTCAGTTTCTTTCATCAGTGTTTTAAAGTTTTCAGAGTACAGGTCTTTCACCTCCTTGGTGAAATTTATTTCTAGGTACTTTATCCTTTATGATGCAATTGTAGATGGGATTTTTTTAAATTTCTCTTTCGGTTAACTTGTTATTGGTGTACAGAAACACGACAGACTTCTGTATGTTAATTTTGTATCCTGCAACTTAATTCACTTATTAGTTATAATGGCTTTTTGGTGGTTTTTAGGATTTTCCATATATAGTGTCATGTCATCTGCTAAGTTTTACTTCTTCCTTACCAATCTGGATTCCTTTTATTGTCTTATTGCTGTGGCTAGGACTTCCAATAGTATGTTGAATTAGAGTGTACACCCTTGTCCTGTTCTTGATTTTAGAGGAAAAGCTTTTAGCTTTTCACTGTTGAGTATGATGTTTGCTCTGGGTTTGTCATATATGGCCTTTATTATTTTGAGGTATGTTCCCTCTACCCCCACTTTGAGAGATTTTATAGTAAATGGATGTTGAATTTTGACAAATGTTTTTCCCGCATCTATTGAGATGATTTTTATCCTTTATTTAATGTGATAAATACTTTGATTTGTGGATAATGACCCATTCTTGCACCCCTGAAATAAATCCCCCTTCATGGTGGTGAATGGTGCTTTTAATGTATTGTTGAATTCACTTTGCTAATATGTTGTTGAGGATTTTTGCATCTATGTTTATCAGGCATATTGGTGTGTAATTTTCATGTGTGTATGTGTGTCTGTCTGGTTTTGGCATCTGGATAATGCTGGCCTCAGAATGAAATTTGAAGCATTCCTTCCTCTTCAGCTTTTTGGAATAGTTTGAGAAGGATAGGTTACTAACTCTTTAAATGCTTGGTAAAGGGCACCCGGGTGGCTCAGTGGGTTAAGCATCTGCCTAAGGCTCAGGTCATGGTCTCAGGGTCCTGGGATCAAGTCCCACATGGGGCTCCCTGCTCGGCTGGGACCCTGCTTCTCCCTCTGCCTGCCGCTCCCCCTGCTCGTGCCCTTTGTCTCTCAAATAAATAAATAAAATCTTAAAAAAAAAATGCTTGGTAGAATTCACCTGTGAAGCCATCTGGTCCTGAGCTTTTTTGTTGTGAGTTTTTTGATTGTTGATTTGATTTGCTTACTAGTCTATTTTCTGTTCTTCTTTCGATCTTAGAAGACTGTATGTTTCTAGGAATTTATCCATTTCTTCTACGTAGTCCAACTTGGTGTATAATTTTTGGTAGTATTTTATAATCCTTTATGTTTCTGTGGTGTCACTTGTAACTTTTCCTGCATGAAGTCCCCTTTAATTTTGGGTCCGATGAGTCTGGCTAAAGGTTTATCAATTTTATCTTTTCAAAGAAACAGCCCTTCCTTCCAGTGGTGGTTGTTTTTTTTGGGGTTTTTTTTTTTTTTTTGTAGTCTCTATTTCATTTCCATTCTGATCTTTATTATTTCCTTCTTTCTACTAAACTTGGGCTTTGTTTTTTGTTCTTATTCTAGTTCCTTTAAGTAAAAGTAGAGATTGTTTGAGATTTGTTTTTTTCTTGGGTTAAGTCTATATTTCCATTAGCTTTGCCCTTAGAACTGCTCTTGCTGCATCCCAGAGATTTCGAACTGTTGTTTCCGTTTTCATTTTTCTCAGGTGTTTTCTGATTTCCTCTTTGATATCTTTGTTGACCCACTGGTCGTTTAGTATCCTGTTTAGTTTCCTTGTTTTTTCCCAAGTATTTTTCATAATTGGTCTCTAGTTTCAAACCGTTGTGGTTGGAAAAATGTTGCATATGATTTCAGTCTTCTTAAATTTAATGACACTTGTTTTGTGGCCTAAAATGTAACCTATCCTGGAGATTGTAACACGTGCCCCTGAAAAGAATGTGTATTCTGCTGGTTTGGGATGGAATGTTCTGTATATACCTGTTAAGTTCATCTGGTCTAAAGTGTTCCTCAAAACCACTGTTTCCTTCCTGATTTTATGTCTGGATAATCTATCCATTGATTTAAGTGACATGTTAAAGTCCCCTCCGATTATTTTATTGTCCATTTCTCCCTTTATGTATTTAGATGCTCCTACGTTGGGTGCATAGATATTTACAATTGCTATAGCCTCTTGCTGGATTGATCCCTTTATCATTATGT